CTTGTGCACCACCCTGCGCAGACCCCACGGGTGATCTACAAATGACTGACCAACMAAACCAGCCTGAGATCCCCGCCAATCTCTGTGGTCTGACTGCAACTAATAGCTGCCTTCACATTTTCAATCGGCCGTTGTATACACCATCAGATTTCCTTGGAATTGCCCTACAGCTTGATGTTGATCTCACTAATCTCACTGATCCCCCCGACCTACAGCCAGAGCATCGTAATTACACCAGGGAAGGAGGTTTTACCATTGCTGTCCTAGAATAGCGATGAGGAACCGCCAGCTTGAACTACGCCATGCTCTTGGAGGTGTGGAACGACGGTGTCATGGTCCATGCCATGATTGATATTACTGATTTCTTACTCTATGATGCTGTTCTCTTGCCACATCAAACTGTCCGCAATCTCCTTTATGTCGAAGATCATTCCTCTGCCACATCAAACTCTCCGCAATCTCCTTTATGTCGAAGATCATTCCTCTGCCACCGCAGTGCAGCAGTACAATGTACACACACTATGTGACCTTCTCCTTTGTACAGCCACAAACACTGTTGCACTTGGGTGTACTCGCCATCATCTTTGTCACAATCACTACCACGAGATGGTTTCTGCATCCATGTGTGTACAGGATTGTCCCTCCATTCCTGACTGCAGGCACCCTCCTCATCCGGACACTATATGTCCATTTTGTGGCCACGGAAGCTATGCTGAATGCATGCTCTTTTGTGGGGGGTGTTCTTCCTTTATTCTGGCCTGCAATAGACATGCTATTTGTGAGGAATGTATGGTTGGCATGCTTAATGCCAGCCGTCGTGGCAGTTGTTGTTTTGAGAATGCTCAGTTAGGTCTTCCATGCACTCATCCACCCCATCCTTACAATGTGTGTCCTTTCTGTCGTCAAGGACAGCCTCATTCTTGAGATTTTTCTTGCCCTTTCCTTTGCCCTCTTCCTCATTCTACACTCCGTATTTTCCCTCTTCCATTCTTTGTTTGTCCTCTCTCTCTCTTTATCCTGTGTTTAACACCTTCCCCTTCACTCTGCCTCTTTCACAGCGTGCAAGTGGGCTGTTATGGCATACGGGGATGGGGGCAGCTCGCGCTCAACTTCATCAACGTGGAGGTGGAGTTCAAAGAAGAATGAGAAATTTAATGGTTTCAATCTGCCCTTGCTTTTTCTTTTGTTTTTGTTTTTATTTTTGCAATGTGCCCGTTTTTTGTTTTTATTCTTTGTTTCGCAAAGTGCGCTCTTTTAGTTTGTAGTTATGTGACAATATATATATATGACAATATATATATACCGGGCAGTTCTATTTGACGATATATATATAAATATATATATGACGATATAGTCGGTGAAACTCCGACGAAACAGTTTGTCACAGCCCCTCGTTTGTTGTCCTCTTCTCTCTTTCTGCCTACGGTTTACCGGGCAGTTCTGTTTGTGACGATATATATATGTATTTTCGGCCCGGCCAGGCAGGTGGTCACGGGCCACTCTGGTAGCCTAGTCAGAGATATGCATTTGGCTTGGCACAAATATTTTTCCTGTGCCAAATCATTTTTGTTTATTTTTAGGGAAAAGAAAATCTCTGATGCGCACCAACCTATGCAACATCCCTGTTTTTGTTGGGGGGAATTTTCCGTTGTCGGAAATTAGATAAAAAATCGCTGAAGTTGTTGTAATCGCAATTTTGCACACCCTCCAGGTACCCCCACTTGGGTCCGGTAGCCAAAAGCTTTAGTATTGTGCCATGTCCACCTGGAACAACCCAACTCAGGCTCGACTGAACTGGTGGTTCAAGAGAATATATATATATGAGTCGGTGAAACTCCGACGAAACAGTTTGTCACAGCCCCTCGTTTGTTGTCCTCTTCTCTCTCTCTGCCTACGGTTTACCGGGCAGTTCTGTTTGTGACGATATATATAACATATTTTTTATTTTCCTGAAGGGGTTTTGAGAGAGCTTTAGACCCTAGCACTATTGTATCCACTAGAATTTGGACCTCATTTCACTTTTTATTAACACTTCATACGGAGGAAGTTTGACGTTTAGATGAACTTAGACCCATTCATCAAAAACTTTTGTTTTTTCTTTCCTTCTTTGCTCGATTATGTAATCAATCACGACCTTACTTTGCGTTCGAGGATGTACCTATCTGTTTATTAGCAGCACATGTGTGTACTCCTCATCCACAGTCGAGGTAGAACTCTGGACCAATATTTCATTGATGCATATATCAGTTTGTATTGTGTTCTCTTTCATGTGAACCCTAGTGATGTGATATCCCTGAAATTATATGTCTGGTTAACCATGTGAGACTTGGCTATGTGCGCAGGATTCTGGTCAGCTCGGTTATGAGAGGTCCCATTCCGGATAGCTGGCAAAATCTCACGAAGTTGAGATACTTGGATTTGAAGAACAACGTCTTCACTGGGCCTATTCCTGACTGGCTAGCAGAACTGCCCTCTCTTGAAGAGCTGTAAGTATACAAGTCCTTGCAAATACAGGACGACACTGCCGAATTTTCAATTTTCTGCTCACTCATTGACTGCATTTGGGACCTAGCCCAATCTACCGAATGAAGCCACATGTCTTGAGAAACCCACTGTGAGGCCCCTGATCCATGAAGCAGGCAGTGCAGGGCCCTGGGTCCCAGCTCCATGAAGTACAGGCCCGGTAGGTTTCATCCAATTCTGGGAAGTTCCATAACCAGTACCTACCAGCTGAAGCAGGACCCACCCACTATATATATGTCGAGGTTGGTGCAGTCACAGCAGGTCTCCTTTGGGCTGCAGCAACGCTAAGTCAAGCGCATGTGCGGAAGGGGAACGACCGTGCAGTTGCCTAGTGTCAGATCATTCGGGGCTGAGGAAGAGAGAGGTGCCATAGCTGGTTTAGCCTGGTGACAGGATAGTGGAGGTCCTCGGGGAAAGCAGGACGGCTGTGCTAGGTTAGGCTAGGCTAGAGTGGTCAGAATCTTCAAGCGGTCAAGGAGGGCTCAAGAGTGGTCAGAATCTTCAAGCGGTCCTTGGCATAAGCTAGTGGCTGATGGATAGTATAGGTTAGGTTAGGCTAGGCTAGGACGTAGGACAGGCAGACGAGGGGCGAGTCAATAATTTCGAACTGTGTGTTTTCTTGCGTCGGTGTGATCTTGGCTTGTCAATTCTGCTTTCAGTTTGGTATTCTCATGTATGGTGTGCACTGAGTTCATGTTGGTGATGGATAGAGTTCTTTTGTCTTTTTTGGGGGAAATTTTTTTGAAATGCCCCTCCGACTTCCATTTATTTGCGGTATGCCCCTCCGATGGTTTACCCTGCTGTTACATGCCCAGTTAGGCAATGTATGTAGAGCCAAGGATCCGCAAAGTGATGAAAACTTTGAAAAGGACTAAATGGACAATGTTAAGGAAATCTCATCAAGCAATGTTCATCCTGATATATGCAAAATGGCACTTTGTCACACAGTGGGAGACTTGGATATGAGTCCTGACTTGACTGGCACTGACATGACATCCCATTATACTTCACACATGTGAGAAGAGGAGGAGATACCAAACTGTTGAATACCGTAATGGTGCAAACCAGAGCAAGGACCGACCTCCCTCACGTAGTACAAGATAGCGCAGCGGAATACTAAGATATCAATGATCAACCCTCTTAATGTCGTAATACAGACCCAACGTACATCATCATCGTTGCAAGGTGTGAGGGGCCTGGGTTTACACACAGGAAGAATGCGCCAGGTCCAGACCATACACAGACGAAGAGGAGGGAAGCAGACGAAGAAGAGGGGGGAGATGGGAATGTTGCCAACACCAAGTCTTCGATACAGGTCCCAAATAATCCCTCGTCAAATGTCTGAATCCCAATGTCGAGTCTGGATCCAAATGTCGTCAAGTCGCAAAGACACAAATCTTCTCTCTCTCTCTCTCTCTCTCTCTCTCTCTCTCTCTCTCTCTCTCTCTCT